CTCACCCATTTGCTTTTGGGCCCAGCCTCTTCCAAAAAGCCTAGGACAAGGGTAGAGAAGGCAGATGTTCTCTTTTATTTCAGCAGCTTTCTCAGAGACCTTCAAGGACATGATGAACAATGGATAATTTAGATTAGTTTGGTGAACTGAGGTAAAGGTGCTCTTTGTCCTGAAATGCCTTAACTCTTTGCGATGCTCTTAGCAGATAATCTTCCCCAGGGTTACTCATAAATGAACACATCACACATGTACAGAGATCTGTTTATTTGCTGCATCTGGGTTGTCAGATTGTTTTTAATTTTTTATTTAAATTAACTACAGATTCACAGGAAGTTGCAAAAATAATACATGAGGTCCCCACACAGCCTTCATTTAATTTCTGCCAGTAGTTGCACTTTATGTAACTATAGTACAATTTCAAAAGTGGTAAATTGACATTGGTACAATATGTGTGCACAATTTTTTTTGTCATTTTATCATATGTGTAGTTTTGTGTAATCACCATCACCACCACCACATGCAATTATTTTTATTTCTGCCAAGCTATGTCTTGTGCTACCACTTCGTGGTCAAGCCCACCCTCTACCACACTTCATCAACCTAAAAGCCTGGCAACCTCTGATTTGTTTTTCATTTCTATCATTTTTGTCATTTAGAAAATGTTCTCCATATGGAATCATAGAGTGTGTGGCTTTTGAAGATGGGCCAATTTTACTCAGAATAATGTCATTGAGATCTATCTGAGTTCCTGAATGTGTCACTACTATGTTCTTTTTTATTGCTGATGAGTATTCTATGGTATGGACGTACTATAGCGTTTAACCATTTGCCTATTCAGGGAAATTTGGTTGTTTATAGTTTGGAACCATTACAAATAAAGATGACTATTTACATTTAATGTAATTATTAAAATGTTAGGACAGAAGTCTGCCATTTTATTTCTAGTTTCTTATTCTTTTCCCTGTTGTTCACATGTGTTTTCTTTTCCCTTCCTACCTGTGCATCACTGAAAGATTTGTTAAAATTCTACTTTGATTTACCTATAGTATTTTAGTGTATTTCTCTGTATGAATTTTTGTATATATTTTAGTTGCTTGGGATATTACATTATATATACATAAATCATGACAGGCAACTGGTGTCAAAATTTTACCAGGTTGAGTGAAGTGTAGAGACCATAAGTCTTTTAAGTCTTAATGTCTTCTTTAAAATTTTAATTGTCTATAATTTATATCTATTATTTTCTTTAATATTCTCTTTATATACATGAAGAATATTTGAAAAATATTTTCCACAGTCATTTTCACACATGGATGATCTAAAGCAAAGAGAGGCATAGTGAATTTAAGAAGCAAGTCTATGGCTTGGCCAGCACTGGGGAGCTTGGCTTCTGGAATGTTCCCTTTCACTCTCTCCTTCTGAGACCTTTTCTTCTTTAGAGTTGATTATTCGTGTTAGCTGATCAGTCTTCAAGTTTTTGCCATAAGCTACTCTAGGGAGATGCTGAGCCTATCCTGGGAACAGAGACACAAGAGGCAGAGGCAATTACTCCAGATCACAGAGGGAAAATACAAGGACAGAGGTCATACATGGGTCACCTAGGTTACAACTGGCTTTCAGAGAGGGTAATGAGTAGGTTAGTGGAATAAGCTTTCATTCTGTTTAAGGAAAGAGAAACCCCAGGGTTTTCCTATCAAGTGTTTTTAGGCTTACTACAGTATTCAGGAGCTAAAGATTAATGTGGTATTTTAGAGCATGAAGAAACATCAACAACAAACATTTTCTTTGACAGAAAAAGAAACAAAATATAGAAAATGATTCCTAAATGATTTTTACCTCCATTCTTTGCTTCATCCTTACAGCCAGGGTTTCCTGGCTAACAAGGTATCTAATGTTACCTAAGGTATCTAAGGGCTAATGGAAAACCAAAGCCCTCTGTCAATTGATCTCAATGCTGGTGAAATTAAATACACTTAAAACCTCTTCCTGCCCTGGCTGGGTGGCTTTGGCCAGGTAGGAGCATCATCTCATACACCAAATGTGGATTTGATTCCTAGTCAGGGCATATACCCAGGTTTGTGAGTTCAATCCCTGGTTGGGGCATGTATGAGAGACAACCAGTTGATGTTTCTTACGTTGATGTTTCTCTCTATCTCTCTCTCTCACCCTTCCTCTCTCTTTAAAAGCTATAAACATATCCTTGGGTGAAGATTTAAAAAAATACTCTTCCTAAGATATGGCTGTGAGAAAGAAAGCATAAAAAGCACCTATATCAAAGCTGGCAAATAAATATCATCTCGCATGCCAACCATTCAGTTGGCAGCAAATCCAGAGTGGTACTTTGGAGAAGGATTTTGAGGACAGGCAAAGAGAAAGAACTGTGCTGCAATAGGGTGGAGAGCAAATAGAGGGGCAAATCTGTGGTGCAGGCCAAGATCCTTCCTAGGGGCAAAGGGAGATCTTTTTTACTTATTTCCCAGTTCTTTGCTGATCCTTTTCAATAAATAAAAAGGGCACACTAATTCTAAGGAGATTCTATACTTCTTGGCTCAGAGATGAAGTGGCTGACATAGTAAGAAGTCTACCATAAGAACATGTTCAAGGCCCAATGTACCAGTAGTGTCTCCTGGCATGACGTCTCACTATGTACATCACAGACACAACTGCTCCATTAATCTTCAAAAGGGCTTTTAATTTTATCCAACATTAAACAAAGGGAAAAGTATAAAGGATGCTATTTAATGCTGGCAAGGACACAGTAAAATATTTTAGATTCTCTAAAATATTACTGGTAGATATATGAATATGCATAAACTTTTTATAAGGTAATTGATAGCATGTATCAAACATTTTAAAAAAATACCCTTCACCCTGGCTGGTGTAGCTCAGTGGATTGAACATGGGCGGGTGAACCAGAGGATCGCAGTTTGATTCCCAGTCAGGGCACATGTCTGGGTTGCAGGCCAGTTCCCAGCAAGGGGACTCATGAAAGGCAACCATACATTGATATTTCTCTCCTTCTCTCCTTCCCTTCCCCTCTAAAGATAAATTAATAAATAAATACTAAAAAATTTAAAAAGCATACCATTCAACACAATATTTGCAGTAATGGAGCTATACCAAGAAAAAAATGCAACATATTTCAAAAATCTTAATCATTCAGGCTTTCATCACAAAACTGTTTCTATTAGTGAAAAACTGGAAACCACTTAAATGCTCAATAATAACTTATAGTTAGGTATATTTATGTTTATCTTGCAGATATTTGAAATTATGGTTATTAAGACCATGCAACAACACAGGTTTCAAAGAAAGATGAAAATGAGGCGAATACTGTAATTTTAACTACATAAAAATACACACAGCAGAATAACTAGTAAGGAACTCTGTCAATATTACATCTGGCTCACACTGTAGAATTGCATCTATTTAAAAGCTGTTATGTTTAAAATTACAGTGTGGTTTTGTCACTTTTATAATGGAAAACATTTAATAGAGGGAACGCTGAGAAGGACATTTTTAATCTATATCTTAGAAAGACAATGGCTAAGCATTATAAAGGAAAATAAGCAATGAGAAGTAAAGAAGTGAAGTATGCAGTCTGCTGTGGTTTATAATGTGAAAAAAGAAATAGTCCCACTGAACCCAGCATTTTTCTCAGTGCTTCCATTTGACAGAACTGGCTGCCAACACAGAAAATTCTTCATTAATTTTTTAAAGCTTTCCTAAATATATTTTTTCTTGATCCTTTTATGCAGTATGGAGGTTTGAGTGAGTGGTACAGTGAAAGTTCTCTGCTATTGTGAGGACTGACTCTATGCCTGTCTTTTCTGTCTAAAGATCTGGTATAAAGAGGGACAGTGTCCAAAGTAGTACCTCAGCCTTGAAATGCACAAAGCTCCAGCTCTTAAAAAGAATTAACTTCTATTGAGTACTTACACTGTGTGGTGTTTGCTTTAGATACATAATGACCCTTGGATTTGAAGATGAATTATTCCTACCTTACAGATGGGGGAACCAAATTTAAGTGAGATGCCCAAGAAAATGGCAAGAAGAACAGCTGCCCTGAACCTACATCTGGCCAACCGCTGAGTCTTTGACTTTCTCTCTGCCAAGCCAGTCCTATGCACTACATGGTCCTGATCTCCTAATTTCCTCAGATAATGGCATTCTGTCTGTCTGCTTTCAATAGGTCTTCCCTAAAGGCTGCACAGGATAAGCCAAGCTTTTCCCCATTGGATACAGTTTCTGCACCAAGCACAGTGCCTAGTAGGGTTATTTATTTATTGACTGTGCCGACTCATACCTGTAGCCTTTCTTTCCCTACTCCTACAACAGTCTGGAGAAGAACTGGACAGAATAAGATAGGAGTGAAACCTCTTTCATTCACAGTTAAGGTCTTGAGGTTTAGTCTACAGAAAGCACCTAGAGCATATTATGCAAACACAGATAAGAGAAAAAGATGGCACTGGTTTGAGCCCAATATGTTACCTGCCAATACTTAATGGTAATACCTGCCCATCTTTGTGTCCTAATTTTGTTCCATCTAAGGCTAAATGCCCATCTGCTCCTAGCACCCATGCTCTGAGATCCCTGGTATTTGAAGCTCTGCTTCCAAACAGATCCACAGGACAAGCTCCATTTTTGAAAGGTGGTGGTTAGTCCTGAAATGTATGATAATGAGACTAAGAGTGTGCTAACAACATTAACTGCTCAGGCCATGGGGCTGCAGGCAGGAGAGTTATGAAACAAAAGTGAGATGGAAAGCCCTTTCTTTACTCATGTGTGGGTGTGCACGTGTGGAGAAGACAATGGCAAAGAACTAAAAGCCTTTCAATCAACAAAATCACAAACCAACATGGCAGGGAAAGGTATTTTATGGGCTTGGCTGGAGTAACTATTGCAGTAATAAGGCAATCTCTCAATTTTCTGTGGATGCAGCCCATTGTCATCTACCCTCCCTCCATTTTTTCTTTCTGCCTCAGGGTCTGGGTCCAAGGTCACCTCCAATCTTCCTGAGACTCCTTGGCCATAGAGTTGGGTGAGACCAAATTACTGAAGATGGCTTTTCTTGGTGTTGTCACAGCCATGCTCTTGATTCTGTTCAGCTTGTCTCGGGCCTGCTGACATTTTCTCAAGCATGGCCCACACAGATCCTTGGCCTCGACCAGATATAAGTTTTCCAGCCTCTTGATGGAGTCTATGAATGCATCAGACTCCTCTGCCATGGGGAAGGGATTTCGCTTTGTGTTGAGCTTTTTTAGCTTGGGCAGCTTGGAGATGCTGTTGGGGATGTTATTGAGCAGGTTGTCGTGGAGTCCTACCTCATGGAGCTCCTTTAGAGCACCCAGCGTGGTGGGCACACTTTCCAGGTGGTTCAAACCTAAATTCACAGTACGGATGTTCTTGAGTTGGTTAAGTTCCACGGGCAGCCCGTTGGTGGTCAGCCTGTTGTTGCTGACATTGAGGTAGAGAAGAGTGGTCATCTGGCCGATGGACTCAGGAAGCTTGTCAATGTAGTTGCTGTGCAGGTCCAGCCACCGTAGGTTCTGGAACTTAGAGATTGAATCAGGGATCTTCCTGATCATATTCCGGCTAAGATCAAGCTCATCTATATCGCTGAGTCTCAGAATACACTTGGGGAAGTTGGTAATTCCCATCTTGCTCAAGTCAAGGCGTTTTCTCCCATCAAATGTAATTTTGATACAATTCTTAGCCACATTGAGGGTGATCTTCTTGCCCTTGGGGCCTTTTCCACCCTTGGCCATGTTCTTTAGTAAAAGAGTATGTATGAAGTATGTTGTTCTGGTTGGTTGGTGATCAGTTTGAGGAAAAGATCACATGAAACTACTAGAAGGTATACTCTAATAAGAGGAAAAAATATCAAGTTAGGAGATTACATGAGGGTACTGGATTCCCCTGAAATCATAATGTTTTTCTCTTTAATAATTTAAAATAAGATCCCCAGCTGGTGTGACTCAGTGGATTGAATGCCAGCCCGTAAACCGAAGGGTCATTGGTTCAATTCTCAGTGAAGGCACATGCCTGGGTTGTGGGCCAGGTCCCCATTGGGGAACATGCAAGAGGCAATCACACATTGATGTTTTTTTTCCTCTTTCTCCCCACCTTTCCCTCTCTCTAATAATAAATAAATAAAATCTTTTAAAAAAGTAAAGAGGAGAGTGGAGAGAATAGGCATCAGCAGAAGTAACCTAGACAAAGACCTTCAGCAAATTGAATCCTCTCTTCTCAGTGTTTCCAGATGTAAAGTGAGAGGTGCAGGTTTGGCCTGAAGGATGCTCAGTGCCCATCTGGCCATGCCATTCCTGACTTATGAATCTTTCCATTGTCCTGAACTTTCAAATATCACCCCTCTCTCTGCCCAGGGTCCATGTTATGTGTGTTTGTGTGTTTTCTCATATATCAGTCATTTAACAGACTCTCACATAAATCTAGTCTTTTCTTAGAGTTATCTCAGTGTTCCTAAGTGTGGGACTGCTGAGTTCTCAGAACTACCATAGTGTGGATATGAAGGAATAGGGTGGGAGTTGAGAGTGACTTAAGTACCCTGCAGTTTCTGTACTTATATCTTTCTTCATCTTCAGGACCCAGAGGAACTAGTCAAGCTGTGGCTACTCTAACTGCCATGCAATGGGAGCAACTCGTAAAAGTCTTTTGCTCAGCCCACAAGTAAGAGGATCTGCCTACACCATGCCTGTTAGCATGGAGGGGCCAGGGCTGAACTTAAAAGTGAATGCTTTTCTTTTTACCTCCTGCTCCCCACACTGCCTCTGTTCCTATTCTTCACAGTGAAATTTAACTGTAGACACCAGTGCACTGAAAGGTATTCTGATGGTTATGACTGTTACCATATGAAGAAGTAGAATGCACAGAGTGAGAATGCACAGAGTGAGGGGTAGATTTTGGCCTCAGATCCTGGCTTAGAGGCCAGCTCTGCCACAGACAACGTTTTTAGGTTTCAGTGCTTCAGTTTACTCAGTTGTGGAAACATCCCTCTTATAGGGCTCCAGGGGGGTGCAGATTATTTAACTATAAAGCCCTCACAAACTAAACTCTCACTCATGAACAAATAGCCCACAAAGACCTATATATTTTAAAGAGACTGAATTTATAGTTGAGAAGCTTCCCCCCAAAACTCTAGGGCCAAATGGATTTATTGGCAAATTTTACCAAACATTTAAAGATGAAAATAACACTTTTACATGATCTTTTCCAGTAAATAGAAGAAGGAACAATTCTTAACTTATTTTCTAAGGCCAGCTTACCCTGATACTAAAATTACACATAGACAATATAAAAAAAGAAAACTACAGGTCAATATTCCCAATGAATATAGACATAACATACTTCAACAAAATGGTAAATTGAATCCAGCAATATATAAAGAAAAATACACAACAACCAAGTGGGAATGCAAATTGATTCATTATTCATTGATCAATGTAATATAGCATATTAGGTTAAAAAAAAGTATATGATCATATCAACTGATGCTGAAAAAATATGACAAAATTTAACATTTATTCATGACAAAAACTTTCAGCAAAACAGTAATATAAAGGCGTTTTCTTAATCTGATAAAGGACTCTCTCTCTCTCCCTGTCCCCTGCCCCTGTCTCTTTCATGCACACACACATGCATGCACACACATACACACACATACACACACCACAACCAAATCATGTTTGGTGACAAAATAAATGTTTTTCTCCCTAAGTTTAGGAACTGAGTAAAAAGGTAAACTCTTATTATTCCTTTTCAATATTATAATGTGAATTGTAGCCAGGGCAACAATGTAAGAAAATTAAAGACATACAGATAGGAAAAATTGAAATAAAAATGTCCCTACTCACAGATGACCTGATTTGTCCACATAAAGAATCCTATAAAATTTAAAGAAATACTCTTGAAACTATGTATCCAGCAAGGTTGCGGGATACAAGGTTAACACACAAAACCCCACTGAATTTTTATATCCTTGTAATAAATAACTGAATGCTAGAATTTGAAAAATAATAATGCTTTAGAAATTAAAACACTTGTGTATTTCATATAAGTAACAAAATATTCAGGATTACTGGGGTAAAAATTATAAAATATTGATGAAGGAAAGTAAAAATCTAATTAAACATAGAAACATACCATGACCATGAGTTGGAAGACTCAGTATGATTAAGATGTCAGCTCTTCCTAAATTGGTCTAAAGATCAATGTAATTCCAATAAAAACTCTGGCAGGATTATGCATGTATATGAATAAACAAATTCTAAAATTTATGTTGAAAGGAAAAGGAACTATAAATCCAAGCATTTTTTAAAAATAAAAATAAAATTGGATTCATGCTTCCCAATTTTAAAATTTATCATGTAATTACAATATGTGATATTGGCAAAGGGACAGATATCTAGATCAGTGAAACAGAAAGTAGAATCCAGAAACAGATTCACATAACTATGGCTAATATAGTCAATTAGTTTTTGAAAAAATCCAGAGAAAATTCAATGGAGAAACAGTGAAGTTTCAACAAATGGTGCTGGAGCAGTTGGTTACCAATATGTAAACAAAATTGTATCTTAACCCAGTGAAATTACCTCAGATTAACTAAAAATTAATAATAGATATGAATATAAAATATGAAACCATAAAGCTTTTTAAAGAAAACATAGGAGAAAATCTTCATGACTTTGAGTTAGATAAAAGTACAATCCTTAAAGAAAATATTTGCAAATTGGACTTAAGCAAAATTAAAATTTTATGCCCTGTAAAAAAAACAATTGTTGAGAATGAAAAACAAAGTATAAGCTAGAAGAAAATATTTGCAAATCATATATCCAACAAAGTACTAGTATCTAGAATCTATAAAGAACTCAAGGTCAATAGTAAGAAAGCAAACAATGCAATTAAGAAGTGCCCAAAAGATTTAATAAAACATTTTACTGTAGAAGTTAGATGGTTGGCAGATGAGCCCACAGAGAGTTGCTCTGTATTATTAATCACCAGGAAAATGCTAATTAAAATCACAATCAAATACTACAGTTATTAGAATTTCTAAAATTAAAAAGAAAACATAAAAACCAGTAATACAAAGATTTGACAAGGATGTGAAACAACTAAGAGTGCTCATATATTGTTGATGAGAACTTGAAACAATGCATTTACTCTGAAAAACTGTGGTAATTTCTTATAAAATTAATCAGTACATATGACCCAACATTTCCCCAACTAGGTATTTACCCTAAAACAACAAAAACTTATGTTCATACAAAAAAACTTGTTCATGTATGCTTATAGTTGCTGTACTCATAATTGTAAAAACAGGAAAAAAAAACCAGAGATCTTTTAGTGGGTAGCTGGATAAAGAAATTGTGGCACATCTCTCCCTGGCTGGTGTGGCTCAGTGGATTGAGTGCTGGCCTGCTAACCAATAGGTCCCTGTTTTGATTCTCAGTCAGAGCACAGGACCTGGGTTGCAGGCCATGCCCACAGCAGCGGGCACATGAGAGGCAACCGCACATTGATGTTTCTCTCCCCATCATTCTCTCTCCATTTCTTTCTCTCTAAAAATAAGTAAATAAAATCTCTAAAAAAATTTTTAAAAGAAATTGTGGCACATCTCGTAATGGCATGTTGTTAAGCATAAAGGGGAAAAATCTATTGATATGTGTAACAACATGGATGAATCTCCAAAGCATTTTGCTGAGGCAAAGAAACCAATCTCAAAAGTACATATAATGGATAACTGTATTTATATGACATACTGGAGAAGCCACAACCATAGGTACAGATCACAGATCAATGGATGTCAGGGATAGGGGTGGGGAAGGTTTGAAGGAAAGGGAGTAGCTGTTTGAGTATCTGGAGTGCTAGAACTACCTATGTCTTTACTATGGTGGTGGTTAGGCAAAGCTGCACATATGTTAGAGCTCAAAAAACTGTCTACATACAAAAAGGCAATTTTATTGTAGGTAAATTTAAGTTTTAAAAAAAAACTTAAAAATATTTGGGACTTCATAGTCTATTTCTGTCTCTTTAAGCTCAGTTGCTTGCTCAGCTCAATGTGGAAGTCTGTGACTTTTTCATACCACCCACCCTTCAGCCCTGTTTTGTCTTGTAAAGGTCATCCAAATGTATACCATGTGGGCACTGCCATGGTGTGTATACATGTTTATCATGTGTGTGCACATGTGCACACTTCAGGAAATAGTTGCACAAGCTGATATGTCAGAAAAACTGTCTTACTGCACTTAAGTTAAAATTTAATTTAAAAAAGGATGGACTGATTGGGGGAGCCTGTGTTTTGATCATATGTTTATCAATGACTTCTCCTCATGGTGGGTTGCCAGATTTAGCAAATAAAATCGCAAAATTCCCAGTTACATTTGAGCTTGGGATAGCAATAGGTAGTTTTTAGTATGCATGTCCCATACAGTGCATGGCTCTGTATTTTATAATAATTGACAATTCTATCCCATGAGCCTGAACAACTAATAAAGTTTCCTTTGTCCATGACCCTAATTAGTCCTTTGGAACTAATTTAAGCCAAGTCAACGCTTATTCCTGCATTCCTTTGTTTGTTCACTCATTCAGTAAATATACTGAGAGCCTACTATGCATCAAGACTCTGTGTTGCACAGATGAGCAATGAACATGGCTGGTCCCCAAGTTCAAAGAGCTAAAATCTAAATTGTTACTGATTCTGGCCACCAGATCCCCCTGAGCACCAAAAGCCTGGGCTGTCCTTTGTGTC